AAAATTTTAAGAAAAGTGACATTCTTATAATAAATTTAACAATGTAATGTTTTTTCTTTTTCATAAATAATATGGAGTAGGAGGAAAATTATTAGGAATGATAGTTCAAAAGATGTCGATTGATACAATTAATTCTATTTGTACAATTATATGTCTATAATAATACACACGTTGACCTTTCAACCTAATATACCTATACAACTCCATATATAACTCCATAAACATACGTACTCATAAACTCGCACAAGGAAACTATGGATAAAAAAAACATTTATATTGCCTACCATATTTACTAATGCTAATCGCACATGTGTATACTCGTACGAATAGCGTCCAAATACACTCCAACCGGTGATTTTCGTTCAATGAAAGCCGGAAGCAAATACCCACGTAAAAAGCGGATCGCATAACCTCCAACATTCAAACCGATCGGATGAGCTCAAAAGAAACCCTAAGTATGCCAAGAACTGTATAAATACTGGCCTCAACCTTCACTTCCTTTCATCCAGAGCAAATCTCGATCATTATATATACACACATAAATACGTATATATACATACATATATATATATATATACGCAAATTTCGACCCTTCGTTTTAGCCATAACCGAGCCCCTAAAACACTTCTGAGACATTCCCCTGCTTGAGAGGAGTTCAACGGAAAAAGAATCATTGAAAACGATCGTGAAACGACGGAGAACGAGCTTGCCGGAGTTCCGCCGGGCTAACCGTAAAAACGGAAAACGGAGAAGAAGAAGAAGGAGCTGCCGCTGCCGCTGCCGCCAACCCATCACTGACCTTCGCCGTCCCCAAACGAGTCTTCTACCACCACCGTATCACGAATCTGTCGAGGTAACCTCCCTTCTCCCCCTGCGCATCTTGTTCCGTTAAACTCACGAGGAAGAAGAAGTGAAGAACAGTACTTTGTTCTAAAAGTTGGGCTGGCTAATAAAAATAATTATTATAATAATAATAATTACTATAATAATAATAGTAATATGTAGTAATAATAATAAAAATAGTAATAATAATAATCTGCAAAATAATAATAGTAATATGTAGTAATAATAATAAAAATAGTAATAATAATAATCTGCAAAATTGATAAATTTGAGATGAGAAGTATTAATGGTGAAATTGGCTGGATTAATTGATAGTAATCACTTGGATAAATTTGTTAATTGTTATTTAACATAGTTACATAATGTTAAATAATAAAAAGGAAATTGATGGTTTAATTAATAAAAATTGATAAACAAATATTATATTAAAATTATAATTATTTATTTGGACTTAGTAGATAAAATTGGATCGATATTGTTTTCACTAATATTGGAATGATTGAAGTAGATTAATAAGTTAACATAATTACGGACTTGGAAATATCAAGTGTTTGAATAATTAATAAAATCAGATTAAGTTGATGATGATTAGTTAATTTAAATTCGGATTCACTAATAGTGTCAATTAATATAAATTAATTACGAAATTTGAACAGTTAATACAATTCGTTTATGTTTTATTAAAATATTATTCGGATATTTTATTTAGACATAGGATTCAAATATTGAAATTAATGGCGGACTCATTGAGTAATTCAAAATAATATAACGAATTAATCAGTATTCTAAACCTGTTATTATCCTAATTAGATGAATTAAAAGTTTATGGTTATTTCTAATAGGATAAACTTTAATTGGAATTTTTGGCCTGTAATTATAATTCGTATGTTGTAATAGTTGAATACTAAGTATGTTACGTACTCCGTATTATTCTTAATAATTCGAATATTAGATTAAGGCTGATTTAAAAACAGTAATGAAATGAAGTAGGAGATAAAGTGGTAAGATTAATAGAAGTGATTAATCGATGATTAAGGGATATACTAAGTTCGAATTAATAATTAGTCACATTAATGAACTCGAATAATAATAATATATAAGAAAATAATTTGGGTAGATATTTAATGTTAGACAATCGACTAATTATATCATCTTAATTAGAAGGTGACAATCTAGAGACCATATTAGAGGAGGATAACTAGGAGCTTCAAGACTTAAGGTAAGTTTCTCTGCCGATTCAAAATGGTTTCCTCGTATTATATGCTATTATGTGATTAAAGTGTGAATTTTGAATTATGTGTATGTGATTTTGAGGAGATATTAGATCTATGGTATTTGAGAAGTGCAAACGAAGTACTTTTGGGTATTAAATATTATTAAATACCTTTGAGACTATTTAGAGAGATTGAGAAATATTTTTGGAAGTATATCTAAAGTCAAGATAAAATTTACGTTTTCATAAGAAGTGAGCACCCGGGAGAAATCCGTGGTGTCGGTTTTCCACATCCAGATAAATGTGGAGGGTGATTAGGGCTGCTACTACTAAGAAGTACAGTTTAAGTTTTAAGTGACATTTGGATTTATGATCCCTTTTAAAGAAGAAGTTATAGTAGTAGTCCCTAATCATTCAAGAACTTTAAAAGGTGGGGTGGTTGGTAGACTGAGTCCCGACTACCCGAGATGACTTACTACTCGGAGGGCTTGGAATCCCTTTTAGGTGGTGTGCACACTTAAGGTAGTCGTTTCGTTTCCGCAAGAGCAGATGTGGTACCGGCACTTGTTCGGGGTGGCCGTCCGTAACCACGGTCCACCGGGCTCAGTCGAAAGGTTGAGCACCGCCCTTCTAAATTACTAGGAAGTTAGAGAAGAAGTGATTTTTGAGATAATCAAAGAAGAAGAGAATTTTGGTGGAGTGAGTTCTTTTTATATAGTATTATATAAAAATCTATTTTTGCCAAACCTGATTATTTTACGGGGTTGGGTAGTACTTACTTAGCTCTAAAGCTAATTTTTGTTTTCTTTCTTTGTTTTGTTTCTGCACGATATTTTTGCAGGTGATGATGGTTATGTTGACTGCTGAATGCATGCGCCTGAGAGCGAGTTAGAAGTTGCCTTAATTAAATTTAGTCTTGAAATAAACATTTATTTATTTAGTTTTATTGTTTTGTTTTAGTTGCCTGTGCATCCGGTTGAGAGATGACCGGATGTGGCGGTAACACTCATTTCCCTATTTAGACTTCCGCTGTACTCTTTAAATTTTATTATCAATAAATAAAAGTTTTATTTCAATCATATCAATGTTTTTGGGCGGAAAATTTGGGGGTGTTACAATATCGCGGGGCAAGGCAACAACAACTGAAGTGCAGGCCTTTGCTTTGCAGTTAGAGCGCACGACCAAGGGACGCTCGGACAAGCAGGAACGGTCTAGCCCCATGTGTACACACTGTAAACAAAAGGGACATGACGTAACCTAAGGTTTCAAATTGCATGGTTATCCCGATTGGTGGGAAGAGCGGAATAAAGCAAAGGGGAGCTCGGGCAATTCTGGCAGCGGACGTGCAGGGGGGTTCATGCCCCGACGGTTCCTTCCAGCTCGGTGACACCGGGTTAGGGGGCTGCTCCTCCAGGCGGTGGCGCAAATGGTTTGGCTACGTTGAGTAGCAAGCAGGTTCAGGCCCTTTTAAACTTAATTACTGCAAATAACCGCTCTTGTGATCGTATGTCAGGTAAACATATTTCTCCTGATTGGATTATTGATACTGGTGCATCACATCAAGTTACGGGCGATTTTTCCCGTCTGGTTGCACCTACACAAATTCCTGAATGCCCGGTCGGGCTTCCCGATGGGCGAACTGTTGCTGCCACACTACAAGGGTGTGTGCCCTTGTCCCGAGATCTTACTCTTGATAGGGTTCTTTATGTGCCAGGGCTTACCTGCCATCTCATATCTGTGTCACAGTTGATCGATCACACCCCTTGTCTTGTCACATTTACTAATGATCTTTGTGCTATACAGGACCTACCCTCGAGGAACCTGATTGGAGCAGGTGAAAGACGAGATGGGCTCTTTTATTTCAGAGGGGTACCTGCAGTACAAGTTCTTAAAGCTTCAGCCACTTTACTGGAATTTGATCTTTGGCATCGACGTCTGGGACATCCATCAGACAGGGTTCTTAAATTGTTACCTAGTATTAGTTCTAGTTCTGCTCAAAAGAAATTAAATAAAACCTGTGAGGTGTGTCCACAGGCCAAACAAGTTCGTGATTCATTTCCTCTTAGTAGTAATAAAGCTGGTAGAATTTTTGAATTAATTCATTGTGATTTGTGGGGACCTTATCAAACCCCATCTACTTGTGATGCTGTTTATTTTCTTACCCTAGTTGATGATTATTCTAGAGCTGTTTGGGTATATCTGCTTCGTGACAAAACTGAGGTGCAAAAATATTTTCTATCTTTTCTAGCTATGGTGGAGACTCAGTATGTTGTGCCTGTTAAGACTGTGCGAAGTGACAATGGCACCGAATTTCGGTGTTTGAAGGCCCATTTTGACACTCGTGGTATTTCTTTCCAAACCTCTTGTGTTTACACCCCTCAACAGAATGGACGAGTCGAGCGTAAACATCGCCACATTCTAAACGTGGCACGTGCATTAATGTTTCAGGCACATCTTCCCATCCGTCTGTGGGGTGAATGTGTGCTCGCCGCTGTACATCTTATTAATCGCACCCCATCTGGGCTCCTAGGTGGAAAGACCCCGTATGAGATACTCACTGGTGTGGCTCCCGACTTCTCCCATCTCCGTGTCTTTGGATGTCTGTGTTTTGCTCACAACGTCAAAAGCCGCGGGAATAAGTTCTCCCCTAGGAGCCGGCGCTGTGTTTTTGTTGGCTACCCTCACGGCCAACGAGGGTGGAAGTTGTATGACTGGGATACTGGTGATTTGTTTGTATCGAGGGATGTCCAGTTCCATGAGGAAGAGTTTCCTTTCTCTATAATCCCCTCCTCGGGTTCTGCATCCCGCGACTCTACGCCAGCCCCTACCGACCCCATCCTTTTTGACCCGGAACCTGTGCCTCCGTTATCTGACCACACTGCAGCCGAGACAGCACCTACGACCGGTCATCATCAGGACACCATTCCCTCTCTTGGGCGGGGTATGCGTTCCAAACGTGCTTCTGTGCTTCTACGGGATTTCGTTGCTCATCATATTCGACACTTGAGCCCATCTCTGTCTCGATCCGCTTTAGTGTGTTCCTCAGGTACGCCTTACCCTCTTACTCATTATGTAAAATGTGACAAGTTTTCTTCTGGTTATCGTGGTTTTATTGGAGCTATTCTTGCAGGACAGGAGCCACGATCTTACCGCGATGCCATGAATGATCCTGGCTGGCGTCAGGCTATGCAGGATGAAATCTGTGCACTTGAAAATAATCATACTTGGGTCTTGGAACCCCTTCCTCCCGAAAAGCGGGCTCTTGGGTGCAAATGGGTACATAAAATCAAATACCTTTCTGATGGTTCTGTAGAACGTCTTAAAGCGCGATTGGTCGTACTCTCCTCGCCGTCGCCGCCGCACGCAATTGGGAATTACATCAGATGGATGTCCACAACGCATTTCTACATGGCGATCTAGGTGAGGAGGTTTATATGAAACCACCTCCTGGTTTCTTCTCTTCTCGGCCCGGGGTGGTATGTCGCTTGCAAAAATCTTTATACGGCCTTCGACAGGCACCCCGCTGTTGGCTTGCCAAGTTAGCTGCAGCTTTGAAATCATATGGGTTTTCTCAGTCCTATTCTGACTACTCATTATTTTCCCTACAACGCGGATCAGTACATTTGCATGTCTTAATTTATGTGGATGATTTGATTCTTGCTGGCAATGATTCTAGCGTTATCGCTCAGTTTAAATCCTACCTGCATTCATGTTTTCATATGAAGGATTTGGGGATGCTTAAATATTTTCTTGGCATAGAGGTAGCTCGAAATTCCGAGGGTCTTCTTCTTTGCCAGCGAAAATATACGCTGGATATTATTACTAAAACTGGTCTTCTTGGTGCCAAGCCTGTTGATTTTCCCATGGAACAGAATCATGCTCTGGCTGCTTCCATGAGTGACTTATTAGCTGACCCTGACTCTTATCGACACCTGGTTGGTCGGCTCATTTATCTCTCTTTTACTCGACCGGATCTCGCCTATGCGGTTCATATTTTATCCCAGTTCATGCAGGCACCCAGACAAGATCATTGGAACGCGGCCCTACGATGTGTTCGATATCTCAAAGGAACTCCGGGAGAGGGTATCCTCTTACGGTCCTCATGTGATCTTACTCTTACCGGGTGGTGTGACTCCGACTGGGCCAGCTGTCCCTTACTCGCCGGTCTATTACTGGTTGGATTATTTTCCTGAGTGGGTCTCCTATCTCTTGGAAAACGAAGAAACAACACACTGTCTCTCGTTCATCCCCTGAGGCGGAGTATTGCTCCATGGCTGCTATCACTTCCGAATTGAAATGGATCAAAGGTTTGCTCTCCACCTTTGGTATTGAACACCCTCATTCCATATCTCTATTATGTGATAGTCGTTCGGCCCTTCATATTGCTCACAATCCAGTCTTCCACGAACGTACAAAACATATTGAAGTCGACTGTCACTATGTCCGCGATGCTATTCAGGATGGCTTAATTTCGCCTCATCATGTGTCTACTAATGATCAAGTCGCTGACATTTTCACCAAAGCACTTGGGAAGAAACAATTTCAGCATCTTCTTAGCAAGTTGGGCATTTTTTATCCGCATGCTCCAACTTGAGGGGGGGTGTTAGGCCCGAATGGGCCTATGGCTGTGTACTTTTGGGCTAAGGGCTCTATTTCTCTAGCGTAGCTTTGTTCATATGAGTATATATATACCAGACCTCCTTGTATATTAAACGCATGAATACAGACTGATTTACTCTAATATTTTACTCCATATTTAGCATATTCTCTCCTTATTCAGCAATGTTCTAGTTATTAAAATCATATATCATCCACATGGACTGAGTTGTACACAAGTTCATATTCTGGAGCATTTGTTATTGTGTCTTGTTAAATGTTGGAGATGACCCATTCTAGTCTTCGTTTTATATTGTCATTTGTGAGATGAAACTTGATTGCCATTGTGTGGGATCGAATTGAATTTTTTGTTTGAGCCTGTGAACAAATTAATTTGGATGACCTAAATGTATCTCATATTCCTTCTATGTCTTAATCCAATGGGGTTGTTCCCAACATTTTGTTATCCAAGTTGATGAACAGTATTTAATTTTGAATGTTTTTCCAATTAAAAATGAGTAAAATCATTCCTGGAAAGCTATCCAAATGAATTGAAGCGAAAAAAATAATTAAGGTGGTTTTTATTAATCATCAAAAATTTTTGGTAATAATCAAATCAGACTCCTGATATCTATTATCATACCATCATACCCAAAGAGGTGGTTTTTATTAATCCTTAGTTTCATTTATCCTGATATCCATATATATAAGACTGCTCAGGTCTAGCCGGAGGGCGGAAGTCCCTGTCCGAACTTTGTTGTTTGGGGCACTTCCCGATGGAATTTTTTGATGAAATTTGTTTTGCATGTTCCCCATCAAGTCTAGTTTGTTCATACCAAGTTTCAGCTCAAAATTCGATCGGGAAAGCATTCAAATCATTTTTTGAAGTTGACTGCGCCAAAATATACATATAAAAACGCAGTCAACTTCAAAAAATGATTTGAATGCCTTCCCGATCGAATTTTGAGCTGGAATTTGGTATGGACAAACTAGACTTGATGAAGAACATACTAAAAACATTTCATCAAAAAATTCCACCGGGAACCGCCCCAAGTGGCGGAGTTTGGACGGAGGCTGGACAGGGGAGGGAGGGACCTGAGCATTTCTGTGTGTGTCTATATATATATATATGTGTGTATGTGTGTGTGTGTGTGTGTGTGTGTATAGAGTAAGGATCAAATGAGAATATCATCTTAGGAGAGAAATAAGAATGGATCTCCACCATTAATTAAATCTGGTCTAACGGAATGCTAATCTTATACTAACGGTTAAACTTTTGGCTTAGGATTACGCCGTTAGTGCTTTAATGACTTTCCACTTTTTCCATTATTCCACGATTTGTATAGGCCACGTATCTTGTTTTTACTTTTAATTTCTCATGATTATAGTATTATATTATGCTTGTTCAAATTCATTTAATTTGCTAGAACTATAAAATTGGATTGGAGGCTAGGCTCTATCTACTTTAGTGTTTGGAGTCTAATATACGTAGTATTGAATTTGATGGTGCACTCACAAATAAATGTAAACTGCCAACCTATACGTTTTTTTGAAAAGGCATTTTCTTTAATTATTAATAGAATGAAATTGATCAATAAAAATGTGATTAAAACTCATTACATAATATTTTTGTTTACCGTTCTTATATTAGTCATGCATTTGGTTAAATGCATTTGGTGTGCACTTTTTATTGTTGCTTGGCTCATCATTATCATCATAACTATCACTATTGTTATTTTTTTTTATTTTCCGTTCTATTCATTATTATCATTTCATTTTAATTTGAATACAAAATATATATTATGACTCCTCTAATGATACATTGATTTTCTCCTGAGTTTGTCGGTGCACATTAATATATTTAATGATAGAAGTGCATAATTTTGCAATATGAGTGCACTCCTAGAATAATAAAGTTGCATATGTATTCATTTTCAGTTGAAAAAGTAAATATATTATGACTCATCTTAGGATGAATTATTATTAATGAAGAAAACGTATTCACATAAATGTGTTAAAACTAGTTGATTGTTATACTAGGTTTTGGTTCAAATAAGAACATGATCTTAGGAGAGAAATGAGAATGAATCTGGACCGTTCGTTAGATTTGCTTTAAGTGAAATTCAATGTGCATTAGATGAAACTATAATGTGCACTAGGTGAAATTGAAATGTGCAGCACAAAATGCACGATACAGTGACATTATGTGAAGCTGAATTGTGCATGATGTGAAATTGAAATGTGCACTGGGTGAAACTGAAATGTGCAGAGTAAACGGTATGATGTGATGTTATTTTCGTACCTTTTATTATGCACATTTTAGTTTAACCTAATGCACACTTGAGTTTAAATTTTTATTCTGCACATTTCAATATCATCTAATGCAAATTTTCATTTCACCAAATGCACAATTCAGTTTAACATAATACCATCAAACGGTATAAATTCATTCTCATTTCTCTCTTGAGAGTCTGTTCTTACTAGAACCGTTTCCAATTATACGAAGTGCATAAATGCTTTATATTATACAAGATAAATGTGCATCAAAATGACAAAAGTCACAATGATATTTTTGGAAGTCCTTTTAAGTAAGTGCACAATGGTACAACCATCAACCCTGGATAAAATGCACAATTTTGTGATATGATTGTATTGAGATTATTGCACAATAATGTAGTTAATGTTATAAGTGCATAGTGTTGCGATATTAGTGCACTACTAGAAATAATATATTTCCACACGTTTGAAGTGAAAATATTGCATAATATATGTAACTAATCTATTACGATAACAAACTATACAATTAGAATATACAATGGTATAAAATAATCAAATAAAAAGAGAATTTAATGTGTGAAAATCACGGAATTCACTTATGATCACTCTAGCTGCACTTGTAAGATAATCTACTGCAATTTAAGCAGAAGTAAAAAATGCACTTTTGATAAAAACACGGGGTGCCATTTATCTAAAATAAGTGAATTTAACTTTTTACGAATGTGAAAAAGTTCAATACATAAACCTAAAAGTGCACCGTAGCATGCTTTAGTGTATTTCACACTTTTTCAAATAAGATTTTTTTTTATTATTTAATCTCATATCTATTAATCAATCATATGTGTATCTGATTTTTCATGGAAGCCGCTAATGCTACTAGAATAAAACAAATTAATGTATAATAAATGCTCTAAAGATGCAATTGCCTTTAATAGATGAGAGTGGACCATTTTTAATAATCCAATCATAATTTATCAAAGTCTTTGAAGTGCACGTTAGTATCTCCGTTAGTTTTCATAATTCTCGTCTAATTTCTATTATGCCACCGCCCAAGAACTAATTAGCATCGTAGATATTTGAGTTTGGATGATTGTGATTTATTCTTATTTCTCTCCTAAGCCACCATTCTCATGGGAACCATCCCCTATATATATATATATATATATATATATATATATATATATATATATATATATATATATATATATATATATAGGGTTAAGATCACATACAAAGCATGTTTCCGGTACAAAATACAAATTGATCTCATCCGTCAAAAATTACAAAATCAATGGCAACAATTCATAAGGCCATTAACTACCAGCCGTTAGTGGGGGAAGTAATCCCCATCTTTTTCAACTCCTCGTGATTAGGGAGCTTTAGAGAAATTTTAGGATCTTCCACATTAATACACGGCTAATCTCATTGAAACGTATGGCTAGAATTAATTTGCACTTTGTAAATTAAGATGACTTTGTATGTGATCCTAAATATATATATTAGAGAGTGGTTCTAATGAGAACACTCCTTATTGTGAGAAATGAGAGCACATCCTAACCCACCATCTCAGTGAATGAACGACCATTAATTAATTGACTCACAATACACGTGCCAACATAGTAATATGTCTTCTACAAATGGAAGGGGAACGTGTAACTAACAAAGGGCATTAGAGTAATGTTATAAAATTCATTTAATATAGTAACGAGTGTAGGCAACCACTTTCCAAAAATATAGGTAGAAATAAAATCTCAAATCATATAAAATGTGTTTAGTTTAAAATTGATTTAACTTTTAAAATTATAATCCAATTTTATAAAAAATTATATCAAATTAAATAACTTTTTTTTGCCTTTCATATGACACCAATATAGCATATATAATTTTTTAAAAAAAATAAGTATCTTATGTGTACAACAAACCACACAAGCATTCCCAGCTATCACACACACAAGAATATGTATCTAATACACGACAACCAATATCTAATGCACACGAAAAGTAGTAACTCACAAATAGTTTTGCATATAAAGCACCGAAACAAGTATCTCAATCACAAAAAGAAGTATCTGAATCACAAAAAGTAGCACAATACGTATATACGTTAGAGAACTAATATCTAGCATATAATATGGACATAGAGAATCACAACTAATACATCATGCACAAGAATTGATATCTAACACACAACACCGAATAGTGCATTTGCGTTACATAATAGTGCAATAGTGATTATTACGGGTGCATATGAGTGAGCAAAATATGCACATGTGAAGACGTAAAGTATGTTGAACATATGAAAACCATGAATGTGCACCTATTATGGAGAAAGTGAAATACAAGTGTAAATGTGCATTTAAATGACATAGTAGTGCGAGTAGTGCTTGATTTTTTAATAATAAGTGAGATAGTAGTTGTAATCACTTGCACCAGATTGTTGTAGTAGTGATTAAGATATTATGAATTATGATAATCACATTTGAGCAATATAAAATTGATGTAGTAGTGATTAAATAAAACGAAAATTAATATGAAGAAGAAGCAAAAAAAAGAACGATAAACATTAAATGAAGAACAAAGATCGATGAAGCAAAATTAAAAAAAGGAATGAAATTATGAAATTATAAATAAAAAAACAAAGATGAAGCAATAACGTACAATCTCCAAGAAAAAGCAACAATTTCTATCATTACGCAAGTAAAGTCACGTGAAAATATAAAATTCAATATTTAATAGGAATTGGAATTTAAGTAAAATTGCGTGAGATATGCATTTTAGTAAAAGGGAAAATGGAAACTAATAATCCAACCTTTTAGCGGTCTTCTTTTAATAGTCCGACCTTTTCGTTATTTATGAATAATCCAACCTTTGCACCTCATCTTTTCATTGGTCCCCGACCGGTTGATGACCTGCTATTCCGAGTTATTTTCTTATCTCTGCAAACTATTATACCATAAATTCCACCTTTCACAAAGATAATATTTTGCAAAGATAAGAAAATAACTTGGAATAACAGGTCATCAACCGGTCAGGGACCAGTGAATGAAGATGAGGTGCAAAGGTTGGATTATTCATGAATAACGAAAATGTGGGACTATTAAAAGAAGACCGCTAAAAGGTTGGATTATTAGTTTCCATTTTCCCTTAGTAAAATGGATGCATGTATTAACGTAACTGACATTAGGAGTGTTCTCATTTGAACCAATATATATGTGTATATATATATATATATATATATATATATATATAGAGAGAGAGAGAGAGAGAAAAAAGATCCTATGAGAAGTCCTAATTAGGCTGAAAAGTGAGAAGTCATAGGAGCCGTCCGATTGATTAGTCTGCGCCGTCCGATTGTTTTAACACAGCCGTTTCATTAATGGCATATTTGTAGTTTTTGTGAACTACGTATCTTTTTGTTAAAGGCATGTTTCCTTCTGTATCCGTCTCTCCTTCGAACGACAAAATCTGATTCCATGGCTGCGCAGTTTTATCTATGAAGTTTATCACCTACAACGTCTAACCGTACAAGGGGAAAGCACAAGTTTTGGGGACGACGACTCCTTATCGAAGACATATCGAAGGTCCGATTCATCTTCCTTTTTCCTAATCCGAACTACTAAACTCTTCCCCTCAATCTGCTCCAATATATGCGCTGCGATTTAATTTAACCTGGGATTTGGTTTTGATTTTGTGAATTCTAAATTATGATTTAATGTATTCCGATTGAATTATCTTCCAATAAACAGTTTTGCTCGTTACTTTTTTGCCTTATTTTTTTTATAAATCAATTGAAAGTATATATTATGCCCATCATGTGTTTGTTAGAATGTTTCAACGGTAATAGAATTCGTTCGAGCCTAGAGTGTAATTTTATGAATAACGTATGAAACTCATTGACTGGTTTTTTATTAAACCTTTCTCTGTATAGTTATAGTTTTGTCCTCTTAAATTTACATTTTTATTACTATTTAAACCTTCTAACATTTAAACTGGAGTTTTCAATAAAAGTTATATATTTTGATTTAATAGTTATTGTTATTTGAGTAAAAGTTTTTTAGTTGACAGAGAACCTCAAATTCCAATCACTATGTATAATACTTTGAAAGTTTGAATTGATGTAGGAAACCCAAACAATTGATTTGGGAACTCAAACCATGGGCCTTGAAATAGAATAGTACTAGGGGTGCATTAGTTGTTTTGGTTTTTTTTATTTGCAGCAGTTTTGGAGATTGTTTTTTTAATTGAGTATTGCATGATATTGCTGAAGTTGTAATTGTGTATAAATCATTTTTGTTGGCTGACTTTTCTTTGTCTTAATGTTTATTGCTTTTCAGTATAATGGATCAAGTTGATGATGTTGATGTGAACTCAACTGTGAACTCAACTCCATTCTTGAGCACTTCCTTTTCTTCTAAACAATGGATTCCAGCTTGCCCTCCTGATTGTAAACATGCTGTTGGTATGACTTTCTCTTCCTTAGCAGATGCTAAGCTCTTTTACAATCAGTATGCTTCGATGTGTGGATTTGAAGTGCGGTTAGGAAGTGATAATAAACATCGAGATGGTACTGTTTTAAGGAAATATTTTCTATGCAACAAACAAGGTTTTAAAGAGGATAGTGACAGTACCCAAAAGCGTATGCTTAAATCTGAAAAACAGAAATCTGGTAACAGTGCATCTCGCCGAACTGCCCTAAAGAGAACGGGCTGTCCTGCTTGTATGAAAGTCTGTTTTTCTTCTTTTGGTTCATATACAGTATACCGGTTTCATGAGCCACATACACATGAGTTTACTACTCCCAAGAGTCAAATGTTTCAAAAGCAAAACCGTAATATGACTGTGGTTCATAAGAAATTTATTTTTGACAATGCGAAGCTTAACAAGGGAGCAAGTTTGTCTTTTCATATGATGAAAGAACATGTCGGTGGGTATGCAAACATTGGTGCTTCTTTAGTTGATTTTAAGAACTGTTATCGTGATTTGAAGACATATGTTAAATATGGAGATGCGCATATGTTTATTGAGTCTTTTAAGCAAAAGGTTGCTCATTCAAGTGGTTTCTTTTTTGATTATGTTGTTGATGAGACTCAGAGATTGAGTAGAGTTTTTTGGGCAGATGCATTATGTAGGAAACATTATGCTTTGTTTGGTGATATGGTTACGTTTGATTCCACATTTAGCACCAACAAATATTCTATGATTTTTGCACCTTTTACTGGGGTTGATAACCATCGAAAATGCATTACCTTTGGTTGTGCCCTAATTGCAAATGAAGATGTGGATTCATATACATGGGTTTTTTATACGTTTTTGCATTGTATGGGTGGTTGTGAGCCTGTAAGTATCGTGACAGATCAAGACCCTGCTATGAAAATAGCCATACCCAAAGTCTTTGAGAAGTCAAAGCATAGGTTTTGCATGTGGCACATAATGAAGAAAGTCCGTGAAAAAGTAGGCTATAAACTTTGTGATGAAACTGATTTTCTTCTGCGTTTGAATGCTGTTGTGTGGAATCATGAATTAGAACCTGATGAATTTGTTAGTGGTTGGTTGTCTGTTATGGATGAATTTGAATTGCAGAAACACGATTGGTTTATGAATTTGTTTGATATTAGAGACATGTGGATTCCTGCCTATTTCAGAGATATTTTTTTAGGTGGCATTTTAAGATCTACTCACAGATCAGAGAGTGAAAATAATTTTTTTAACCACTTTTTAAATCATTTCCTATCGTTGGTTGAATTTGCATCTCGCTTTCGAACTGCCATAGAGTCTCAACGCTATCACCATGACCAGTTGCATGCTAATTCCAAGAAATCATTTCCTCAATTGCTAACACCATTACCAATTGAAAAGCATGCTTCTGAACTTTACACCCTCACTGTTTTTTACCTGTTTCAAACTGAGTGGAAAGCTGCTTGTTTTTCTTGTGGTATTCAAAGCTTCATTACCGATGAATCGGGTTGGGATCATGTGTCTGTTGTTGATATTCTTCGTGGGAAAACGTATAAAGTTACATATAATCCCGTTGACCATGATAGTTCTTGCTCTTGCAAGATGTTTCAGAGGGAAGGTATCTTGTGCCGTCATGTTCTATTCGTAATAAAAGGTAAGGGTGTTCGTGAGCTGCCGAGTCGTTATATTCTGAATCGGTGGACAAAAAAGGCTTTGGAAAAGCCTATTTTTGACTGTTCTGGGAACATATTGGATGAATGTGCTGCTGATTCGAAAAACAAGTTGGTTGGTGATTTGTGGTCATCTTTTTTCAGTTGTGTTTCTCTTGCTGAGAGTTCAAATGATGATCTGCATAAGTTATTGGACATGATTGAATATTTCAAAGGCTCTATTGTTTTGAAACATACTTCCAATGATGTTGGAAAAAGTTCTAATGATATTGAAATCCTCATAGGTATTAGCGCTTCATCAGAATATAGCATTCATCCTCCAAACATTTCTGTCAATAAAGGCAGAAAAAAAAGAATGATGAGCAAGCGTGAAGAAGCTATACTTAAAAAGAGGTCAAGTAATGTGGGCAAAAGTGATGCTTATGCAACAGAGGATCAAGTCAAGAAGCCAAGAACATGTAAATCTTGTGGTGAAGTCGGTTTCCATGATAGTAGAAACTGCCCTAATAAAGAATGTGACACTTCTTCAAGGTAATAAGTTGTTTAATATTTTAATTTTTTGTAACTTTTCAATTTCTAACCGGTACTTTTTTTTTGCAGTTCTTGATACATTGGATTCATATACACTTTGTTTGCTGCCTCTTGTAGTCTTTCCAAGTACTGAACTGAATTTTGATTTTTTTTCTTTAGTTTTGCATTTTGCCAAATTTTGATTTGAGCTTGTCGTTGATTATTTTACCACCTATAAACAAGCTGTCAGGATTTTTATACTTTCTAATTGTTATTCTTTTATTTTTTGCAGTTGTTGATGAAGTGGACTCTTCTCCAGTTGCTGCCTCTTGGTGCTTTAGTTGATTGTGGCTTCAGTTTTTTCATTTTGCCAAGTTTTTGATTTAGCATGAAGACTATTTTTGTGAAGACAGTTTTCTTTTGATTTGTTACTGCGTGAAGCCAGTTTGTACACTTTTTTAAATTGATAGCATGTGAATCATACTTTTAGTGTCACTTTTAGTAATTATTTGATTAAGAACTACAAATTGTGTGTGAGATTCTTGATGAATTTGTCCAAGTTCTCTAGAGCTTGGCAGAATATTGAGTAATGTATTGCAGCATTGATTTGGTTGATTAAGCTTTGCTAAGTATTAAGCTTTGACCATCCTGCACTATTTCATTATTGTACATGTATTGTTTCATGTGCCTCATGTTGCATCCACATACTTCTTTTCCTGGTTTAATAGTTATATGTACATTTTGATGACTTTTACAGACTATTTTGAGTTTTGACTGTTGCACTCTATATTTGGTTTATTTCCAAATAAAAAGGTCACTGCGTTTTCTATTATATTTGACATAACAACTTGTAGAAAAAGGGGAAGACTGGAAGAGGCATAAATTAGTAAAAGTAATAAACAAATATATTAACTGGAGAAGCAGTTACACCAAAATTTACACAAGAGCTTTGAGGTTGTACAGTAAGAGTAATGGTAATGGCAAATCAAATATTCAAATCTCCCAAAAATCCCAATTCAATTTGCACTGTATTGTTATGAAAAAAGGGGTTAGTGATTTATTAATCAATTAATCTGTAATTAGCTCTTTAATCAATGATTTAAACCTAAAAGAACTAACGGTGAATCGATCAATAGTAAGAGACGAGCCACTGGTGCCTACTAATCCGTCTTGTTTTTGGCTTTATTACTGTTAACTCTACTTCCGTTGCCGTTACTGTTACCCGCCCCGCAAACTATGGTGAACTCAAACCCGTAAGCGTTGGCGAAGCATTTGACGGCGCCGTCTTTTTCCTGCCCTCCATGTCCGTGCTTCCCGAGTCCCCTCAAAGATTTTTTTTATTAGCATAGGCTCCTATGAGTCTATGACTTATAAAACTAAATGCATGAGTTTGAATAGATCAAATCAACAAAAGATTTTGTAAGTTTTTGCACATTTATAATTTTAGATCAAATAAAAATTAATAATTTTTGAAATCTGCATTTATATTAATAGTTTATGCACTTAGTCTAAGATTTTTTTTAGTAGTATAGCCTCCTGTGAATTCGAACTCAAATACTCATCATGCCTTTTTGAAGTCTATCAGGGACATCACATGATAACACCTTCTCTATCATCAAAAAATGTGCTGCTTAAATGTCCACCTTCTAATAAATTGGAGCGTTGCAACTAACAGACCTGTAATCATAACTTATAAACTAAATGCATGACTTTTAAAAGATCAAATCAACAAGAGAATTTTGGAGGTTTAACAAAGTAATAATTTTTGGAAACCACAGCCTTCGAACCACAGTCATCATAATAAGTTCTACCATAGAAAGTATCACAAAGTTATACAATAACAAGGTTAATAACAAGGTTCTTCTTAGTCTAAAATATACACTTTGAAAAGAAAAAATTACACCACTGAACTCCAAAAATGAATTCAACATGTTATGCTCTCCATGACTTGAAAATTCCCATGCCCAATTTCATCTTCATTCACTCGCTCAGGCTCATAGTTTTCCTCACCTGTCAACATAAAACAGAGTCATGTATCAACATACTAATATATTTAGAAGCATAATATTGTTTGTTATTTATATGACTAAAACCTAACAGGTGGAAGCATAATCTTCGACAATCATATCATATATTAAGAACATATAATGCATTATTCAATGAAGTAATGGAGTAGTAATTACAATGCCCTTTTCCCTTCTTTTATTGACTTCATTTTCATGAACTGCTCAATCTTGTTCTTGACTTCATTTTTCATTTCATTTTTTTGGAACTCCGTAAGGTATGAGCAAATCTCTGCGCGGTGAAACTTTCTGTCTTCCACCTGTTTCAAATAATATTATTAGTTCGTTATATGACCAAAACAAACTAAAAATAATAATATCATCCAATATAATTAAAACTTAACTAACCCTGCTCAGAGTATACTTGAAGCTCACTCCCTCAAACAAGAACATTGTGATCAGCAAGTACACACCACAATCATTACTTTCTCTCTTAATTTTCCAATCAAAGTTGACTTCTTCAAACACATACTTCGGCATTTCTTTAACCTTTGGGTGCTTTTTCTTGTTCAAGTAGCTCGACATCTCTGGGCACTATTTTGAAATAATTGTTCAAAACAATAATGTTTTTTAGTCCTAGATTAATAATTAAATCAATTAAAGAGAAAATTTAAAAACTTTTACCATTATTCCAGCTATAAATTTAAGAGGACTGATGTCCTCTTTTATCCTGTAGTCCACCAATTGTGCTTTCTTTGACAGTGTATTTATAAAAAGGGACAGATAGTGGTTGTTGTACAGAAAGGGAATCACAAACTGCAAGTACATCCACAACATTATATAATTTTTATACTTTTGTGATTGATTTATTTTCAATTTTTAGCGAAATAATTACTTACAAAATTTGCCTCTGCAATGTTCCACTGTTGATTATTCATAGAAACCCATTCTTCCCATACTTTATGTAAAGCAATCCTTGATGCATTATCAAAGCCCTCTTTCATTATCTTACTCAATATGTCCTACACAAAGATTTTGTATGGTATTAATCCCTACTCCAAGATTTTACCACTCAACACTTAATAATTTATGGTACTATTTTAGCAATGCATTATAAGTGTAAAAAATCAAGTATTATTTCTTACTGAATGTGTAATCCCAAAGAAGAATCTTTTCCCCATTTCCTGCTCGGATGTCAGCTCTTCTTCATTCAAATAATATGCCCAGCAGTTCACAATTGCAACAGGTATAAAGCTTGTTGAACCCAAGCACATCATATCTTCTTTTGTTAAATAAAGACTTCCATTGAACCTGACAATGAGTTCACTGGAAAACAAAACAAAAACATATGAACTTATTACACAGGATCAGTAACTAATTAATGATTATTTGTAACTTTTTATATAATAGTCTATGCTTTTTATATATGTAAATTACTACAAAGTATTTGTTATTAATTCTTACTCTTTTTGCATTCCATCATCGTAAAAACAGTAGTCCACAAGATGCTTATCAAAATCTTTCATTGATTGCCAACGTCTAGAATGCCTGTCCTTCATGAACTGAGATAGGAATGTAATGCGTTTTTCATTTCTCGGTTCATTGCCCTCATCTTTGCGTGGCTGTTCTGCTTCTTCATTACCACCAGCTTCTTTCTCGATTGGGATTTCCACTTCTTGATGCACATCAACATCTTTCTCAATTAGCTGTTCTGCTTCTTGATTCACAGCAGCATGTTTTTCAGTTGGTTGTTTCCCTTCTTCATTCCCAAAAACATCCTTATCGGTTACAACTACACCATCCTCCATCTCAATGTTTCTGTCAATGTTCTCTTCTTGTGTGCTATTCTTGATATCCATCAGCCAATCAACTACAGCATCCACAATCTCAAACGTTTTAGGGTCATTAAAAATTTTGTCGAAACTGTTTGTGGATTGGGAGCTTTGGTTCTGGCTAAGTTGTTCTTGAGTGTCTATCTCTTGCCTTGGAGACATATGAGCCCGGAACACAAGTTCCACATCCCTTTTCACCAGCATCAGAGTTTTACTTTTCTCCTAAACAAATCAAAATAAAAACAGAAACCAATTCATTAATTAATAACTTTTCCTAAAAACCAGATTACTTATTAATAATAAAGGTTAAATTTTAAACAATATATAAGAACTTCTAATTAAATACTCACATCTTTTGCTGTTCTGATAATATCATCATCAGTGGGCATTCCTTCCGGGATATCGTATCTGATGAACCTAGACCCCTGTTCTTCATTGTTGAATACTTCAATTTGTTTTTGAAGAAGAGTATTCTGTTTCGAGATCGGGTAGCCAGAATCAATTGGGCCTCTTCCGAAATCACCAGCTTTAATTTCATCTTTTACCCTTGCTTTCGTTTTTTCAGAATTCCAATTCTTTATCAACGGCAATGATTTTGGAACGTCAACTCCTTTGAACACTAACCTTTGAAAATACAAAGTTTGGAGAAGCAACAAACATCCTCCCACAAATGCATTGTCAGCATTTCTTTTGAACCTTTCCACTGCACTGCAGACCTTTTTGAGTACATAACCGCACCGGTTCAAATCCTTGATCTTACCAGCATCTTCTAATGCAACTACCAATTGTAAACTAGCTGTCCTATTAGAGGTTGGTGCCAAATAACCTTTTAAATTCATCACCTCCATCCTTCTGTGCTTTTATAGCATCACCTATTTTTCTTAGATTAATATTACCTGCTCCAGTCACACCAAACTTTCTTCTCCAGTTCTCCATTACCACCTGCCCTGCAGTTTTTTCTTTTGACTTTTTTGTATTCCTTACCCATTCTGCTTCAACCACATCACTTCCAACAACCCAAGGTAATTGAAATACATCATGCACATCAACTTCTGTGACAACAAATTCCTTCCCAGATCCAATAGTAAACATCAAACTTCCACTATCAAAACTCTTCACTAACCAAGAGACCAATCTACTATTTATTTTAGTACTTATTCTGCAATTCAGTACACCTTCAAAACCAATCTCTTTAACATCTTTAACTTGTTTTTCAGACAAATCATCAAAAATCTCTATCAAACAGTATGGCCTACATGCTGCTTGTAGTTTTTTTTCTTTTTCAGTTCTGTATTTGATGGAAAATACAAAATATTTCAGGTTTTAAAAAGATGTGTTTTTATAATGTAACAGATTTACAGATCCAATCATATTAAAATGTATACCTTTTGGCTTTTAACTTTTTAGGATGAGCTTTCCTTTCAGATACAGCCTTTCTCTTTCTCGGTCGTGAAGTTGATGCAATTTGACTTAAATCACATTTTCTTTTGGACAGGGTCTTCTGTGTTGGCTCAAAATCACTCTCCTCCTCACTATTCATGACATGTATATTTTCACCTACATTAACAAATCAAAATTAATTTTTAGAAAACTGAATTAGAGAATATTACTTTTGAACAAATATTAATTTAAATCTATAAGCGAAATAGATATTAAACTTATAAAGTTCCACATTTAACTTTTTAAATAAAATAATTTATTTTATAAAGAAATTTACATTTAAATCAATCAATATGTGTGTTATTTTAAAATATTCTAATGAAATTATTACCCTCTTCATTACATGCAACTATAACAAATTCATTAAACTTCTATATAAACTACTTTGTACTTTTAGTAACTTAGTTTTAACTTTTATTTAGAAATATTTATCCTATACTCTCACCTATCCAGATCTTTTACAATTACATATTAAAGGAAATATTGAGCATACATTGTGTTGCTTTTTTTACAATTACTTTTAAAAGAGAACATAACATACCTTCTTCATTATTTGAAGCTTCCTCATTTGCCTTTGAATCGTTCTCCTCATCTTTAAGAAGTCAAAAAACAAATATTCAAACTTCTATTGTAAAACATAGAACTTTTAATGATATAATATTAACTTTTATTTGCAAGTATTTATTCTATACTCTTAACTATCTAGAGCTTATAATTACATATTAAAGGAAATATTTAGTATATATAGTTTTCATTTTGTTAGAATTACTTTTAAAAGTGATAATAGCATACCTTCTTCATTACTTGAAGCTTCCTCACTTTCCTTAGAATTGCTCTCCTCATCTTTAAGAAGTCAAAAAACCAAATATTCATACTTATATTTTAATACATACAAGTTTTGACAATATAACATTAACTTTTAATTACACGCATTAATTATATACTTTTCATTGCACAATTCTTATAATTCCATATTAAGTGTAATATTTTCATAATATTTACAGACAAATTATTTCTAAAACACAAAATAAGATACCTTCTTTACTTGAAGCCTCCTCATTTCCCTGAACGTTGTTATCCTCATCTATAAAAGTGAAAACAAATTCGTTCAAACTTTTATATAAACTACTTGAACTATTAATAAAATAATCATAACTTCTAATAACAAGTGTTCATTCTATACCCTTCAATACCCACAGTTTTTGTAATTACATGTTAAGGGAAATATTTTCGTAACATTTACAGACAAATTATTTTTAAAACACAGAAAAAGATACCTTTTGTTTCCTTGAAGCCTCCTCATTTCCCTCAACATTATTATGCTCATCTATAAAAGTTAAAATAGATTCGTTCAAACTTTTATATAAACTGCTTGAACTAATAATGAAATAATCATAACTTTTAATAACAAGTGTTCATTCTATACCCTTCAATACCCACAGTTTTTGTAATTACATGTTAAGGGAAATATTTTCGTAACATTTACAGACAAATCATTTTTAAAACACAGAATAAGATACCTTCTTCGTTCCTGGAAGCCTCCTCATTTTCCTCAACATTGTTATCCTCATCTATAAAAGTGAAAATAGATTCGTTCAAACTTTTATATAAACTGCTTGAACTAATAATGAAATAATCATAACTTTTAATAATAAGTGTTCATTCTATACCCTTCAATACCCACAGTTTTTGTAATTACATGTTAAGGGAAATATTTTCGTAACATTTACAGACAAATCATTTTTAAAACACAGAATAAGATACCTTCTTCGTTCCTGGAAGCCTCCTCATTTTCCTCAACATTGTTATCCTCATCTATAAAAGTGAAAACAGATTACTTCAAACTTTTATATAAACTGCTTGAACTAATAATGAAATAATCATAACTTTTAATAACAAGTGTTCATTCTATATCCTTCAATACCCACAGTTTTTGTAATTACATGTTAAGGGAAATATTTTTGTAACATTTACAGACAAATCATTTTTAAAACACAGAATAAGATACCTTCTTCATTCCTGGAAGCCTCCTCATTTTCCTCAACATTGTTATCCTCATCTACAAAAGTGAAAACAGATTACTTCAAACTTTTATATAAACTGCTTGAACTAATAATGAAATAATCATAACTTTTAATAATAAGTGTTCATTCTATACCCTTCAATACCCACAGTTTTTGTAATTACATGTTAAGGGAAATATTTTCGTAACATTTACAGACAAATCATTTTTAAAACACAGAATAAGATACCTTCTTCATTCCTGGAAGCCTCCTCATTTCCCTCAACATTGTTATCCTCATCTACAAAAGTGAAAACAGATTACTTCAAACTTTTATATAAACCGCTTGAACTAATAATGAAATAATCATAACTTTTAATAATAAGTGTTCATTCTATACCCTTCAATACCCACAGTTTTTGTAATTACATGTTAAGGGAAATATTTTCGTAACATTTACAGACAAATTATTTTTAAAACACAGAATAAGATACCTTCTTCGTTTCTTGAAGCCTCTTCATTTCCCTCAACATTGTTATGCTCATCTATAAAAGTCAACACAGATTAATTCAAACTTTTATATATACTGCTTGAACTAATAATGAAATAATCATAACTTTTAATAATAAGTTTTCATTCTATACCCTTCAATACCCACAGTTTTTGTAATTACATGTTAATGGACATATTTGCACAACCTATTTTCATTTTTATAGCAATATTATTTTCAAATCACAACATAACATACCTTCTTCATTCATTGCAACTTCCACATCTTCCTTTCCATTGTTATGCTCCTCTATAAAAAAGAAAAAACAGAAACTTTTATAAAAATAACTTCAACTATTAATGAAATAATTCTAACTTTTAGGTACAAGTTACAAGTGTGCACAACCTGTTTTATTTTTCTTCCATGAGTTTCATATTACTTATACAGATTTATTTTTAAATAAGAACAGAATATACCTTCTTCATTGCTTGAAGCTCTGTCATTTCCATCTGCAATGTATAGTTTGTGTATAAAAACCCAAAACAGAAACACTCATACTTTTATACAAAAAAAATGAGTAACTTATAGCACATACCTTGTTCTGCTGCTACATGAGACACAACAGGGTTTTCAGGAATAGCATTTCTCATATTATCCAAAATCTGTTTCTCCTTTTGTGTCCCTGACCTTGTTTTATAAAACTTTTTCTTAATTGTAGACCAATTTGAATTTCCTTCTTCTGGAAGTCCTTGCACTTTTATTACAAATTTCATTACTTCATAACCAATTTTCATAACTTAAAGTAATTATCAATCATATACATTAATTTAAATTTAAAATAACCTTGTAGAACAGGAATATTCACTTCAGCAGTAGACTCGAAATTACATTGGCTACCTTCTTCTGCTATGAATTCCAGCTTTTCACTTGCCTTGGAACGTGGTAGCTTCAGTCTCCCCATTTGAGATACTAAAAAAATTAAAGTCATCATACATTTCAATCACTAACTTCTAATACTTAGAATATTACAAATCAAACATCAATACTTTTCAAAAGAGAATATGATTTCTCCAAACTTTAAATATAAAGTTATAAACCGAAATAAACATGAAATAAACACGAAAAATGTATTTCAAACTTCAAACTTGAGAAATTTCAATAATAACGTAGAAGTTAGGTCAAATTTTATACGCTCGAAGTTTGATTTACAGGTAATACCGAAGTTGTTAGGCAAAAAATCAATGTCGAAAGCAACATACCTTCGAGAAAACCTAGCGAGCCTTGTCTTCTGGATTTTCCGTTTTGCAGTTCGTCGCTATTGCAATTCGTCGCAGTTATTGGCGTTCGCCGCTGCGCTATTGAACCTCGTGGCTGTTGCAGTTCATCGCGATTGAAGTTTTGCGTAGCAGGTGCCACTACCGTGTCGCGATTGAAGTTCGTCGCTATTGAACTTCGTAGAACATGGCGATTGGAAGATGCTTGTTGCAGATGCTTGGAAGATGTGCGTTTCAGCGCGTTATTGTTCCCGGCAACCGATAAAGTAAACTGTTGCGCCGTTTGTTGATTTAAAATTGGGCCATCGATGAGCTTCTAATCGGACGGTTCTGATTGCTTCTCACTTTTCATCCGTATGAAGCTTCTCACCAGATTCATTCTCTATATATATATATTCAAAAAAAATCTATTTTTAATATTTATAAATAGACCCCTATAACTTTTAATATTTGTAAATACACCCCCATAACTTTTAATATTTATAAATATGGCCCCGTATCTGTATCCTACTTTTTTTTTGTTATGACGTATCCCGTACCCGTTTCCGCGTACCGGTATCGATGCTACATAGGTGAAGCCAATTGGATAGCCCACAATTTGGCCCATTATTCCACAGCTTAGTTTCAACAATTTCACAAGCCCAAAGATTTGCCTATCCAGGCCCGACAGGCTTATTTTGGTGACTTATTTGACATTCCCTCCCTTAGATATCTGTAATTTTCTGTTTTTAATTATTTCGTTTGTTTTATTTTGGGTCAGGTCTAGCCCCCCCCAAAATTTCTACTTTCCCAATGAGGTTTTGGCCTAGTCCCCTCTTTGTTTATACTTTTGCTTCTTATTTTTAATAAAATATGGGCAAATGTTCTCCGGCATTTGCCCCTACTGGATGGAGTGATTTATCTTCCGGGTTAAAAAAAAGCAAACATAGCCTTGCTCTAATTCATACTCCCTCCGTAACTTTAAAATCTTCTATTTGAAAAGTAGGTAGATTAAGAATAGTGAAAGAAAATATGAATTATTGAGGGTATGATAGGAAGATAGTGGAATAAGGTGATGGAATGCAGGATAAATCCAAAAAATAGTTGTAATAGTGTATTATTTTTAGAATTATTGAGGATATTATTGGAAGATTTAGAAATGGGAAGATTTTTTATTGAAGGACGAAAAAAGGTGAGAAGATTTTAAAGTGAAGGAGGGACTGGAAAAGAGTTATGTACCTAGTTGACCCTTTCCCTCGCACGTATACTCTGGCAACCGCAGCTCCGGCAATGGCCAAGCTACAAGCCACAGCGGATACTAATAGCATTGAAGACATTGACAGAGTAAACTTCCATCAAACTCAAAGGCGCTGTCCTTATTCCCTTTTGGACACTTCTGAAAGCTCAAGCGCTGACATCAAAGAAGAAGACGAGTTGAAGAGACTTTTAATACCGAGGATAGAAGACCTTCCATCCGCTCCTCCATCTGCGGTTGACTCCAACTTCGTCACCTATTATGCTCCCGGTACAGCAGTTTCCTTGTTCCGATTCATGCTGTATCATCTGTTCTTTCATTCTTATAAAAAATTGGATTTTAAAGCACTGTAAGACCCTAGGTTTTGATGATAATTCATATACAAGTCTTTGCGCGCCGAACGCATATAAACGTACAAATCAACTTTTTGCCTACTGGGTTTAACTTTTAAAAGCGTATCAGTTTCAATATGATATCAAAGCAATTAAACTCCAAGAGCAATTAAATTTTGGTAAACCTAAAAACACGCATACAATCACATTTCTAGATCCAAAATTACATTGAGCTACTTCTTCATTCAATCAGGTTAACATCTTCTATTAGATCAACATTATGACACTGAATTCTTATTATGTTGAAACGGCTTGCTTTCCTGGAATGTTTGTTCTTTGTTGAATGGTGTTTGTTTGCAGATTTTATGAAACCTGGACACGATCAGTATGTCCGGCGTCATGCTAATGGGTAATTCTATCTATTAGATATGTTGTTCTGTTAGTTGTAAGAATTGTTAGCTGAATTTAATGTATTTTTGAATAAAGGTTGTGCGTGATTGGTATAGCTTCAACTCATGTTGCCTTCAAGGATGAAGGTGGGATTACTGCTGTCGACTTTAATGTGGGGAAATCTGATCGCAGTGGAATCAAAGTCACTGGAAAGCGAAAGAAGGTACTATGTCCAATAATAAATTTTGTTATGTAGTTTTTTATTGGCAAATGAGCTCTTCTGGAATGACTTCTTAGAAGTATTTTTCCAACTATGTACTTTTGCGACAAGCACCATTTTAGCTCGATTTAACAAGCACCATTTTAGCTCTTTGTTTGATAGAAGTGCTTCTAGCCTTCTAACCCTATAAAAGTTAAGAACTAATGAATATCAATTTAGTTGATTCGCATTTTATAATAAAAGCTCCAATCTTTTTCTTTTGGAATGTTGCCAAAGTTCTTTGTATTGTTTCCAAACTCACCTAAACAAGATCCTTATCCTTATCTTTCATGGATAATGTTTACTTTTTCTTGTAACTCACAATACTACAATTAAATCCTGATTAGTCACGATTTACATAGCAACCTGGTTAGTTATCCTCATCACCTCTAAGATAAAAACTTGCTCATACTTGAAAGGAAAAGGTTTCCAAATGATTCATATTCTACACTCAAACATTTGTGTTTTTTCCAATCTTGTTCATCAGTAAGATTTTATGGATATTCTTTGGCAGAATGCGCAGCATTTTGAGTCAAATTCAGCATTGTGTAAAGTGTCCACAAAGGATAATTCTTATGTCGTGAGGTGTGGGATTTCATATTGGCATCATTCCCTTATGAAAATTTAATTATTATATATAATTTGCAATGAGTATACTTTGTCTTGTCTAGATGTTGTGTGAAAGGCTCTCTATTGGAAGTCAATGAAAGACTGATTGAACACCCAGAATTGCTTATATCATCAGTATGAAAGCTTTGGCCATACACTTGTGTATTTTATTTTGAATTATATATTACATAATTCATGCCTTTTATCTTTGGTATGGGTATTGGTATTGGTACTGATATTGGTATTGTGTATTTATTTTTTTTAAGAATGCTCCGTGGGTGATATGGGGTAGAGGTAGGGGTAGGGTTAATGGGGGGGGGGAACAGAGTTTAACTACACGGTATATATCTTGTTAGGTTCTATTTGGATGGGTAGGATTTTTACGAAGATGTGGCTCTATTATTGGCTCTTCGTGCAATCATTAAGTTCACTCAGTCCATGCAATTATGTGGCAAATAACCCCGTCAGTCATACCCATGAAGAGCCAATAATAGAGCCACATCTTCATTCGATTTAATTCATACTGATGTTTGGGGTCCATATCGTGTCACATCTACCCTAGGTTTCCGTTATTTTGTTATATTCATATATGACTATTCTCTGTACACATGGTTATTTTTTATGAAAGAACGATTTAAATTGTTGCACATATCCCAAATTTTTTGTGCTGAAATTCAGATACAGTTTGGCCGTTCTATCAAAATTTTACGCAGTGATAATGCCCAAGAATTCTTTTCAAACCCGTTTACTCAATTCTGAACGTAAGAATCGTCATTTAGTTGATACCGCTCGCACTTTGATATTACATTCTCATACACCATCTCAGTATTGGGTTGATGCTGTTCTCACGACATGTCACCTAATCATAGTAGTCAATGGCTAGATATGGCGCGCGCCATATGCGCCATCGCCATGAAGAAGTGGTTGTCGCCATAGCGCCATATGCACTATATGCGCCATCACCATGTGCCATGACAAGTGCCTTTGAGCCACGGCGATCGCCTTGCGCCATGACAACTATGCACCTAATCAACAGAATTTCTTCATCGGTCATTACTAATGATGTTCCTTATTCTATCTTGTTCCTTGAACGTGAATTATTTCCTTTGTCACCTCATATTCTTGGATATTTTTGTTTTGTTCACGAAACAACACCAGGAAAGCCAAAAATGTTTGCCAGGTCAATTAAATGCATTTTTCTTGGATATTCACGCCTTCAAAAGGGATATCGTTCTTATTCTCCAACACTTAAGAAACATTATATTTCTGTCGATGTCAGCTTCATTGAGTCTTCATTTTATTACTCAACTTCTCCCATGGTCCATCCACGTGCCCCAACTTTGAAACACATTCGACACCCACCACTACTGAAATTCATTGTTCTAAAAATCGGCCTAGGCGGACCGATTAATCGGCCTAGGCGGCCTAGTCGGCCCAAACCGTAGAGGCCGAATCGGCCTAGTCGGCCAAAAAATCGGCCTAATCGGCCAAAAAATCGGCCTAGTCGGCCGCCTAGGCGCTAGGCGCCCCTCAACCGCCCGACTAGCGCCTAGCGAGTTTTAGAACAATGCTGAAATTTCAACAGAAGCCCAACCATATCATCATCCTCCCATCTACCATCGTCGTCCCAGTCCTCCACTTGTACAAACTACCCATGCTTCTACTAACGATGAGGCCACATGTGTCACGCCCATTGATTTCCCTACTACGAGTCCAACTTCCACGCAATCTGCTACCCCAGAGCCACCCTGATGATTTGCCCATTGCCCTCTGGAAAGGTATTTGTTCTACTTTGAATCCACATACCATATATAACTGTCTCAGCTATCATAACTCTCTACCCCTTACTATGCATTTATTTCACACCTATCTTATGTGCATATTCCTAAAACCACTCGTGAGGCATTGTCACATCCTATGTGGCGTAACGCCATGTTGACTGAGATGGAAGCTCTACATTCTAGTGGGACGTGAGAATTAGTTCCCTTTCCTTCTGGAAAACCAGTGGTTGGTTGCCGGTTGATTTATACCGTTAAAGTTGGACCTGATGAAAAAATTGATCATTCTAAAGCACGACTTGTAGCGAAGGGGTATACTCAGATCTATGGGTTGAATTATACTGATACATATTCTCCTATGGCTAAAATCGCATCTAATCGCTTACTTTTGTCTATGGCGGTCATGAGTCGTTGGCCATTGCACCAATTGGATATAAAATGTCTTTTTACATGGTGATCTTGAGGAGGAAGTTTATATAGAGCAACCCCAAGTATTGTTGCTCAGGGGGAGTCTGGTCTTGTGTGCAAGTTACATCGTTCCTTATATGGTTTGAAGCAATATCCACGTGCATGGTCGGGGAGATTCTGTGATGTTATTTGTGGATTGGGCATGGTCCGAAGTAATGTTGATCATTCGGTTTTCTATAGACATTCCACAGGAAACAAGTGATGATGAATAGGGAATCACTCAACTCAAGGAGTCTCTCTTTTGCAAATTCCAAACAAAAGATTTGGGGAAACTAAAATATTTCCTTGGTATTGAGGTCGCACAGTCTCGCAATGGTATTGTCCTTTCCCAGAGGAAGTATGCGTTGGATATTCTTGAGGAAGCACGTATGCTGGAGTGTAGACCAGTAGATACACCGATGGATCCAAATGTCAAACTATTACATAATACATAAACAAGGGGAGCTTTTACCAGATCGAGAGAGATACTGAAAACTCATTGGGAAGTCGAACTATCTCACAATCACAAGACCGGATATATCTTTTGTTGTAAGTGTGCTTAGCCAGTTTCTGGATAATCCATGTGATGGCCATTGAGGTGCAACTACCCGAGTTTTGATATAGTGACATACATAAAGAAAACACCAAGTCAAGGGTTACTCTACGAAAACCGAGGCCATAATAAGATTGTGGGGTATTGTGATGCAGATTGGGCCGGATGTCCGACAGATACACGTTTTACTTCTGGATATTGTATCTCGATTGGTGAAAACTTGATTTCATGAAAGAGTAAGAAACAAGATGTCTTTGCGATATCAAGTGCTGAAGCAGAGTGCCTGCAATGGCCCTTGCTGCATGTGAGATTTTATGGTTAAAACATCTTCTTCAAGAACTAAGGTTCAGAAACATGAAACCGATACAACTGATGTGTGATAACCAAGCTGCAATGCACATTGCATCTAACTCAGTATTTCATGAGAGGACAAAACATATTGAGGTTGATTGTCACTTCATTCGAGACAAGATTTTGATTGAACAAATTATCACAAGTTATGTCAACACGACAGATCAACGCGCAGATGTTTTAACAATATCTCTTCGAGGTCTTAAAATAGATTATATTTGTAACAAGCTTGGTGCATATGATTTATATGCTCCAACTTGAAGGGGAGTGTTGAAACCCTAACCTTAGTTGCATTGGGCTTAGCCCACTTTGTATAAGTAGCCCTAGTTGTAGCTATAAATATAATTATTGTTGTAATGTTTTTTGGTTTATCAATAATAAGAATGAGAGTCATATTTCACAGGTTCATTCAGTTTGTGTTAAATTTGAGTCCAATCACTAACAAACACACCAAAGTTAGGGAGGTTATTATGGATTCTTTATGTGTATTTTTCGCACAAACAAGTCCCACCCTTATCTTGCGTGTTACGTAAATTTAGAACACAGTAGGTAACTATCAAATTGGCTGAACCGGTTAATCCACTGAAATGGTTGAAGTTATGGGTCGAAACAGTTGAATCAAATCAGCTGGATTATGAGAATTTTGTTAAAAATATATTTTATTGACTGAAAAAAGAAAAAGTAATATGAGAAAAGATAAAATTATCCTCTTTAGAAAATTTAGCCAAATCAACAAAGTAACTCAAGCTATACGTATTTTGATTATTACACAATTTAGCACACAAAATCAAAAGTACAATGTCTAGTAAAAAATGGATGATGAGGTTGACAAGCTAAAAAAGGGATTACTATTATAATGTTGAACATTAGCTTTCGCACATTGCGCGTCTAAAACGCTAGATCATTGTACAAGTGTACTATGCAAGTGTATGTTATTGACTAATTAAGCTGTTTTAAATAATACTCCATACTACGATATTTTTATAGAAATTTGTGTCAGCTTTGCTTACTCATAATAGGCCCTCTTTTGGATAGGGCATGTTTTATTAGACTAGGCTCATATTAAAACGATCTACAATAGGTGAGGTTTATCCCCAATACTTATGTGGTAGATTGAAACCCAGTAAGCAATTGATATGAAATACTTAACATGGTGCTTTTGTTTTAAAACAAAGCAGCTGATGTGGTATATACGGCCAATTCCGGTGAGAATAGTTTTTTGAGTGAGAATTGAAAATGCTGTTAAACGGTGCATATCTTGGTTCATAGAATTATACATTTCTAGTTAAGATAATGCACACTTTTCGTTAGAGCAGAAAAGACTCATTTCATTTTAAAAAAATGCCACCAAGTTTTTTCATCTTTGGCAATGCACGTTTCGATTTTGAGATAATGCACAATCTCAAATCTAACATTTCAGATTCATTCTCATTTTTCTCCATAGATTATATTCTCATTTGATCCAAATTATTATATATATGTGTGTGTGTGTGTGTGTGTGTAAACCATTGTTTAACCCCACTATTGTGTACAGGCTGAAAGGGAGGGATACATTGGTATCATAATGCCAAAGCCAGCAGAGTGGCCGACGACCAAAGCTTCATTGCTGCTGCTGGGACAACAATAATAATAAGATCGCTCTAAGTTGAGATTACAATAACTTGCTCTCGCAGACACTTTATTATCTTTGTAGAGAGCAACATGGAGCAGATTTTCTGGAAACGCTACTTGGTCAAGTTAAGTTAATTTGTGAAGCATCTGTTATACATTTCAACCAATTTCGTCGTTGTCTAGGTCTTGATTTATTCGGGAAAGCTGGTGTATCAATTGAATAACTTTGGGGATACAATACAATATTATACCAAAAAAGGATTGGGTGTCCAATGCATTGTTGTAAAAATCTCCTCGGGCCGCCTGGGATTTTTTGTGTTTAGGATCGTAAACACTGTTTAGGCATTTTAACCCTCCCAGTCTGTGGCCTAATGTGCCTTCCTTCTTTTTTCATCATTTAGTCTTTTAATGAGTTATAAATTGATAGAAAAAGGGTAGTATGGTGCACGAAGGCATTTCCGCAAGGCAAGCGACCTGGGAAGAGCCCTCACCACAAGGTGTATTAGTTTATAAGGGGCAAACTTTCCTATGTAAAATTTTGACAAGAGAGTGCTCTCAAGATTTGAACTCGTGACCTCTCGGAGTCTCGGCCACACAGCAAGACCTTCATCGGTGCTTGATAAGTTTTAAATTGTTACTTACAAAATATATATGGAAGTGTTTCTTTCCAAAATACCTATGAAGTGTTTAATTTGACTTCTTGATGTTGTAGTTCTGATCGGCATATTTATTCTTTATCATCCTGTTTATTAGTCATCTTATCCTATGAATAGCCTGATTCAGGAAGTGTTGATTTGAAACATGTTTTCTGGTTTTGAACCTGTGTTTTCAAAACGTGTTTATTTTTTCTGTTTGAAAACGATTCGGTTTCAATGTTGTCTTTTAATTCATTGGGTGTTCAAATGGTTGGATAGTTGTTTCAGATATATATCTTTAAAGTATAAAGGAAATGATATACTCTGCACTTGTCTATAATATCCCCATGTGGAACCAGAGGCTTACGACCAAAGTTCTGCTCTCCCAATATTCGAAACTGGAATCATCAGTTGTTCGGAGCTGTTTTAAAATAAATAAATGATATTAATAGTAATCATAATAAAGTAAGAAAGTAAGATACTCACGTGCACTATATTTCATACACTTGCACACACTACATCAAGTCATCAACACTTACACCTTGAATTATACACACAACAATACGATGTTAAGATCTGAAGTTTCATCCTAAAAGATCAATCATGTTAGGAGTAGCTCAAATCTTAATATAACACTCTATTACTTTTTAATTTAACGGTGTCGGGCTTCAACACCTAGGGTAATTATCTCTATATATATTTATAATAAAAGAGTACAATGTGAAATACATAAACACCTAGTGTAATTATCTCTATCCCTACACTATTACTAGTTACCTAGCTATGCTGGCTATATACAGGGGCGGAGCTAGAGGGGTGGCCAACCGGGCCACGGCCCGCCCCAAATTTGAAAATTCTTTGTATTTTTAGTCTATAATTTTATGTCAAAAAAAATTATCTGAAAAATTCTTTGTACCGGCCCAGTGCAACCTTCAATCCTAACTACGCCCCTGGCTATATACGTACATTATACTATATGTACATGCCGTGTTGCTCATCACAAATCAAAACATATTACAAAACTTGAACATGCTGCTAGGTATAGGTAAAAATATAGACTAGTATGTGAATGAAATAAATTTTGGATGAGATCAGAGGGCGGAGTTGATAATTTGTTGGAGAACCATCCTCCTAGACCTAATAATGTTGAGAAAGCACAAATAGATGTGTTGTTCCAGCTCCTTCAAGTGGTCGGAGAAGCCCGCTTCGTGTGCTGCCAAGTCGCGCACCACCTCCTTCACCATCTCATCATTTTGCTTTCTCGCACACAGCCCCGCCATCGCTCTGTTGTGTTCCGTCTCGTCGTGCACCCTCCCCACCAGCCTACTCATCGTCCCAAAGTCGTTGATCAGAACGTATACCCCCTTTGCCGCCGCGTCCAGCTGCAAGTACACCCTTTCCCGCCGCTGCAGCCGCCTCGGCTGCTTCTTCCCCTTCTGCTGCTGCTTCCGCACGCCGCCCAACAATAAAGAGACCACCCCGGGACTCGCCAGCACGCAAAGGGCCGCACAGTGAACCGCGACAAGCGTGAAGGCCAGAGCGAGGGCAGCGCAACCCACCGCGAGCGTGGCCCCGAGCGCCTTGCGTAACAGCCTCAGCAGCTTCATCTTCCTCTTTAGCTTTCTTGCGCGTGAGGTGAGGCGGTGTAGCAGGGCGAAGTGGCCGTCCTGCACCTCATTGAACCGCACCTGCGAGGCGGTCGAGAGGGGGTTCCTGAGCGCCGAGAATGACTGCAGCTGCGCATATGCGCGTTGCAGCTGCTCGGCGCTCCAAACCCCCCGCCCGCCCGCCACTCCTTTGGTAGCGCATTTGATGTTCTTGTCATAGTTGGTTCTGGTGTGGAGGACGTTTTTGAGGAGGGATTCACACATTTTAGAGGCTTCGAGGCTGACAAGGAAGTATTCATTGAGGAGGGGGTGGTGGTCATGAGGTTGGGAAGAATAATAATATTGTAACTGATCATCGTCAGCGCCAGCTAAGAGGTGGCAGAGTTGGAGGCGGCGGTGTGACGGTGTGGTGTGTAGACGGTGTTCCTCCGCCGCAGCAGCACCGCAAGTAGTATTGGCCGCTAGCAGCTGTGTTTGGACTTCGACGTAAGACTTGGTTCTAAAAGCTTCCATGTATTCGCGGTTCACGCTTGATGACTTGTTCCTTAAGCAGCTGCCAGCTTCCCTTTCTTTCACTTCATCCTTTCTTCCTGCCACATTATAAATAAATATATATTGCGTACATCCAAATTAATTACTCCGTATATATTAAGAGAAAATTCATATATACCCGCAAATTAAATAGAAATATTTTTCAAAATATATAGCTAGGACTTTGGGAAATTTTAATAATTAATAATGTTATTCGATCTTTTAAATATATACTCGATAATATATATATATGATTAATTATTATTATTATCTCAATATATAACATAAAACACACGTAGCTTAATATATTATATATCCGAGGGCGATCGATATGATTATTTTTTTTATATGCCCGCATGTAAATATGATATATCGATCGACCGGAAGCATATGATATAATTAGGCCGGATCGAATAAATACGTCCACGAATATAAATAATTAAAGATGGAATTGTGCTAGCTTACTTGCTGCTGCTGCTGATTTGGTGTAGGATAGCTTCCTGAAGCTGAAGAGAGTCATGATGATGCGCGCAGATGGATCTATTCAATTTAATTAATTATTACTCGGTACCCTACGTAGTATATATTGAAATCGATCAAAATTAAAACAAAGTGCATGTATGTATATATCTCTCTCTATATGTATATATATATTATACATAGATATATAGAAGATGAGAATCGATATACATGTGTATGTCCGGCCGGCCGGATGGAAGCTTGGGTAGGTAGATGTACAAGTTGTGAAAGCAACAACCAGCTGGCCGGCATATAATAATAATAATAATATAATATATGGCACCTAGCTAGCTGTCTACGTGTATAATTAACTATATATATTATGTATACGCACACTGCGTGATGTGTGTGTCTATATGTGAAGCATCAGTTTCACACTCTTTATGAATTGATTGATCAACCTAATACTCCTATGGGTGGAAACTTCATCGATCACATCCTTTGGAAAATCTCCTAACCGATCTAAATCAGGGAGTAACAACTAGATCTAAACTTAAAAACTTTTGTGCTTTCTCTGGTTATTTATCTCTTATAGAACCGGAGAACCATGAAGTGGCTCTCTCCGACACTGACTGGGTTCTAGCCATGCAGGAGGAACTAAATCAGTTTGAAAGAAATAAGGTGTGGCATCTAGAACCGAGACCCAAGAACAAGACCGTGATAGGTCTCAAGTGGGTATTCAAGAACAAGCTTGATGAACATGGCCAAATTACAAGAAACAAAGCTAGGCTGGTTGTCAAAGGCTGTAACCAACAAGAAGGAATAGATTTCAACGAAACATTTGCACCGGTGGCAAGACTAGAAGCAATCCGAATGCTCATAGCATTTGCGGCTCATATGGGTTTCACCCTCCACCAAATGGATGTCAAGACGGCCTTCTTGAATGGATATCTAAAGGAAGAGGTGTATGTAGAACAACCACCGGGCTTTGAAAATCAAGATTTTCCTAATCATGTTTTCAAATTAGATAAAGCACTTTATGGCCTCAAACAAGCACCTCGTGCTTGGTATGAACGCCTATCTAAATTTCTTTTGGAAAATGGTTTTGAAAGAGGAAAAATAGATAAAACTCTTTTTCTAAAAATAAAAGATCAAGCCCTATTGGTTGTTCAAGTTTATGTTGATGATATTATTTTTGGTGCTACTAACGAGTCTCTTTGTGATGAGTTTTCCTCTCTTATGAGTTCTGAATTCGAGATGAGTATGATGGGGGAACTTAATTTCTTCCTTGGTCTACAAATCAAGCAAACAAGCAAAAGAACTCAAATATCTCAACAAAAGTATCTCAAGGAACTACTAAAGAAGTATGGTATGAGCGAGGGAAAAACTATGACTACACCTATGAGAACAAATGATAGGCTGGATGCAGATGAACAAGGGAAGAACATAGACCAAATAAAAGATGTATCGAGGGATGATTGGGTCCCTACTGTATCTCACTGCCAGTAGACCCGACATAGTTTTCAGCGTAGGTCTATGTGCACGGTTCCAGACCAATCCCAAGGAGTCCCATCTCAAAGCTGTGAAGAGGATTCTCAAATACCTTAAAGGAACTACTAATCTATGTTTATGGTATCCACGTAATGATGATTTTAACCTTATTGCATATTCAGACTCTGATTTTGCAGGAGATTTGCTAAATAGAAAGAGTACGTCTGGAACGGCTCACTTCCTAGGTCCCTGTCTAGTTTCTTGGAGCTCAAAGAAACAAACTTCAGTTGCTCTTTCAACAGCCGAAGCTGAGTATGTAGCAGCCGCATCTTGTTGCTCTCAATCATTGTGGATCATGCAACAAGTAAGCGATTACGGGGTTGATTTAAAGCGCACGCCCATCCTATGCGATAATACAAGTGCAATTAGCATATCAAAGGACCTGGTCATGCATTCTCGGACAAAACATATTCATATACGACATCACTTTCTGAGAGATTGCGTGGAAAAGGGGATAATCAGGCTGGAATATTGCAACACCGAGAAACAAATAGCTGATATCTTTACCAAGCCTCTGGGAAGAGAAAGGTTTGAACTAATTAGACTGGAACTCGGTCTAATTAATTCCTAACTTATTTGTTCTACTTCTTATTTCTTAAATAATGGGAATCACTGGAACTAATCTCTTTTACTAGTTGCGAAGAAAGCATGCAGGACCTTCCGGCTCATCTAAGGGGGAACAAATTTGGGCATTAATTTTACTCCTTTTGTTGAATGACAAAAGGGGGAAAAATCTTGGTGCCCCTTTGTGTGTTGATGCTCTACTATAATTGTTACTAATCTGCAGGGACACCTAATGTTTGTCATCAACAAAAAGGGGGAATTTGTTGAGTATGTGGTTTTGTTGATGACTAATCATGCAGGTGGAACGGGGGACAGAACCGACTACGGAGAGTTCTAATATGAACTCTGGACAGAACAGTTCCACGAAACATTCGGTCCCATAATTTGTTATGTGTCTGCATGTGCATGTCTTTCAACATATGATATTTTACTGCATTAATACATTTCTATAATTGATTGAATATTTTGTGAAATGTATTGCTACATATGCTTTATGGAAAGTCACTTTATGGAAAGTAATATGAGTACTTTTTAAATATATACGTGATTTGCTTATTTGAGTGGTACGTATATTACTTTGGAACGTATAGCTTAGTTTATGGAAAGTATCCTCCTTGCTAATTGCTATAATGTGCTTGCATGATTAATTGCTTATCTAAGTATACGTGGGTTATTTCAAATATCTTTCCATGCATGACTAAGCACCCATCTTAGTGAGTTTGACCTCAACATTGATTAAAATGCTTTATGGAAAGTTTTTTAAAATAAAAAAAAGGCTTTGCATGACTCATGTTTCAACTGACCGTAGGATGCTTAAATACTTTGCAGCCTTACAATTTGAAAAGTCATTTTATGAAGTAAATATTTTTGGAATGAATATTGATTGATCTCACGTATTTTGAATGAGCCGAAATATTCTCTTAATCTATGATTGATATGCCATCTTAAATATATGATTGTGATATTTTAATTTGGCTGCCTTATATACTGCATAAGCTCGGATATGAGAAATATTATGAAAGGAAAGCAATTCAAATAATATCAAGGCAAGTTCCAAGTATGGAAGCTCAATTTCTTAGGGAAAGAGACACCAACAGACAAATCAAAGTGGCTTATATATTCGAGAACGAAGAGGAAGAAGTGTGTGCTTGACCGAGAAAATATCAAGAGAAACACTCAAGAGAAATACTAAGTCCAAGGCACCTGAAACTGCTCTCGGAGTTCTAGACAGAGTTCTTATTCCCTTCTTATATTGTAATTGGGTTATTGAGGACGAGCTAAGTGTAGCTTCCTCGGGTTGGGTAACGTGTGTTGTGAGAGCTTTGTTGTAAAGCTGAGAGGCTCTCTACCCGCAAGGTAGAGAAGCGTAACTCTTCCTAGAGAGGATAGAGTTGGGGTGGCTCAAGGGTAGACTAGGAGAGTTTCCCTTGTAATCATTCAAAGGCTTTTTAGTGAAGTTGTTAAAATTCCTCCGAGGGAGGTCGAGGTTTTTTTAATCCCTTTGAGCCAAGGGATTTTTCCTCATTAAATTCTTGTGCACTTTACTATTTCGCAATTCCCTATACCCCGCACTAGAACTTGGCGAAAAACTGCCACAGTTTCACACACACAATTCACCCCCCCCCCCCCTCCCCTCTTGTGTTACTAACCGTTTTCATTAGTACCCCTATCACTTATCAAAATGGAGGGGACTCCAAACCTTGAGAAGATGTGACATTTGAGAAAGTCCGCCACAATTTGGCATCATCGGTTTTTGTGGGTTTTGCTTCTACCCATTTCGAAACATAGTCCATCGTCAAAAGTATGTATATATTTCCATGATAATTTGGGAAAGGTCCCATGAAATCTATACCCCAAACATCAAAATTTCACAATAGAGCATTGGCACTTGAGGCATTCCATATTTTCGGGAGATGTTTCCCATTCTTTGATAATTGTCACAGGATTGACAATAGCTATGAGCATCCTGAAACAAGCTTGACCACAAAAATCCGCATTCAAGTATCTTCATTGATGTTCACTTGCCGCCAAAGTACCCTCCACAAGCATGAGAATGGAAAAATGCAAGGATTGAAGCTATCTCCGTTTCCGGAATGCATCTTTGAATGACTTGATCCTTGCAATGTTTCCATAGATAAGGTTCATCCCACACATATTGTTTGACGTCATGTTGGAGTTTATCCCTTTTGGATTTAAAGAAGCTTGGTGGAAACCTGTTTAAGACAAGAAAGTTAACAATGTAAGCATACCAAGGGCGAATGTCCCTTAGAGAGAAAAGAGTATCACCGGGAAATTCTCTCATATATCATCCTTACATGTTCATTGCCTTCATTTGAAACTAGGCGGCTTAAGTGGTCTGCCACCAAGTTCTCCATTCCCTTCTTGTCTTTTATCTCCACATCGAACTCGCTTAGATGAAATATCCATCGAATCAACCTTGGTTTGGCCTCCTTTTTGGTCATCAAGAACCTAAGAACTGCATGATCAGTGTAGATGATCACGTTGATTCCAAGTAGATATGACTTGAATTTCTCAAGTGCATAGACAATGGCTAGCATTTCCTTCTCGGTGGTGGAGTAACCTGATGTCATTGTGTTACCCGCCATCCCTGGAGGGAGGGCTCTAATAGCATCTCTAGGAAGGGTTTATTTGGGTCCTGTGGACGCGAATGGATGGTGGGTACTTGGTGCCCTGATGATGTCAGTGCCAGGGATGCAACACTTAGTACAAAGATTGTCTTTCTAGTGATCATTTCTGGTAAGGTTACCATGAGATTGTTTGTTTAGGTTTAGACTTTGATTTTTGTTTTTTTGAAATCCATTTCTGTTGTTAGGATTTCTGCCATGTTCATTATTTTTCAAAACTTGTTTGGGTTGAACCTTTATCTTCTGGTTTTCTGATTGGTTTTCTCATGATAGACTTTTGTACCAAATACACTAGCATGACAATTGGGGCTAGTTATCTGTGAGTCTATGACTTTGTCTGCCTTAGCAACTTGGGTGCTAGGCTTTAAAGAAGGTTCACCGGATTCTGTTAAACATAACCAAGACCAGAACTGATAGAGATACCTTGGACAGTGACTATCTTTTCCATTGTAGCTTGTGCTTTCTGGACGGTGTTGTAGTCTATCTCATGGTACTCAATTTCTCTT